GCAGCGCCGGTGTGTTTTGTTTGCGGTGTGAATTTCGCATTTTGAAAATGAGCAGTAATTACAAAGAGCTGTACAAGAAGAGCGTTGATCTCGGCGAGCAGCAAAAGCTACGCCAGCAACAGTTGCTCTATGAGCAAAAGCGGCGAAGACAGCTGCAACAAGATGTGCACCGGCTCATTAAAGACTCGGACGACGACGACGACGATGAGCAAGAGCAGTCAACATCGAGCGGGAAGAGCAAAGCGCAACAGAAAAAACGCAGACAGCGCAACAAGAATACCAAGAACAACAACAATGACAGCAAGAGTCCACATTTGAGGCTGCAGCAATCCGAATGGCTGCGGCATCGTCCCGACAACTTGTCCGATTGGCTGCTAGTGCCCTGTCCTGTGGGCAAGCGCTGCTTGGTTATGGCGAGTAATGGCCGTACGAAGGTCTACAATAAAGCGGGACGCATTGTCATGCAGCTGCGTTCACTGTTGCCTGGCGATGGCTACGTGCAGAAGTTCAAGACTGTGCTGGACTGCGTGTACGTTCAGGAGATGGATACTTTCTTTGTGCTGGACGCGCTCTCATTTGGCCAGCAGCTACTGCTCGATTGCGATGCAAATTTTCGTTTTTTTTGGCTGCGATCGCGCTTTGATGAGCACGGCGAACTGAGCGAGCGCAGCAACCGCAATGAAAAACCGTTCAAGCTGCTTGAGTACTATGATTTTGAGGACGCCAGCGCTGTGGAGCAAGCCCTGCAACGCTATCCGCAGTGGGAGGCGAATCAGCCACAGCTGGACGGTCTACTCTTCTATCACAAGGAGGCCTGCTACACCTGTGGTAGCACACCTTTAGTTTGCTGGCTATTTCCCTTCATGCTGCCTGATGTGCTGAACCTGCCCGTGCACAGCGGCTATGAGGCTCCAGATGATTATCTGCCCAGTGCCGCGCTCGAATACATGGATGAGTTTGACAGGAAGCTGCAGGCACAACGACAGCAGCTGAAGAAATCCAGCAAAGCAATCGAGACCGTCAAAGAACCCACTGCAGTTGCTGCTGATGTCAATGCCATGGATGAGGATGATGAGCTGGCGGAATTCGCTGAGCTGCGCAGTCTGTTGGATCATCAGCGACGTCTGGAGCTGGGTGAACTGGACATGGACTGCAGCCCGGCAATGACAGCGCCAGAACCAGAGCCAGAGCCACAGCCAGTGGTAAAGCCAGAGCCAGCGCCGCAGCCAGTGGCAAAGCCGGAGCCAGCTGCCACCAGCAGTAACTGTTGAAAGTTATTGTTTCGTTACAATTTTGTGGGTCGGCGAGGGCATGAGCTCTGCTGGTGGTGGTGGCACAATCGCGCATGCGCACTGCAGACCTTGGTCCCTGGCCAGCAGGCAGCCCAGATAAAAAGCAGCTCAGCAGTTCAAGTGCAGCTGAAACCAAATGAAAACCTTTTCAAATTAACGAAAATAATAAACAAGCAAATAAAAATATGGTTATTCAGCGCAGTTGGAAGATTCTAAGCGATGCGGCAAGCACAGCGAATAACAACATCAACAACGATGCACAGCAACGTTCACCTGCAGGACTGCAGGGCAATTCCTCCTCGGATGACTCCGACTGCTCCAATCAGACAACACACTCCATGGACACGCGCGTCGCTAGTCCCACGAAACACATCGAAACGGAGCCAGCGACAACAGAGACAACTTTACACAATGGAACGGATGCCACACTGGTGCGTAGCCGACCCTCAAGATACCCCTTAATTATTTTGATTCATTAAATATACTTTGTTTTATTTGATGCATAATTTAAATTGTATTTGTATTGAGCAAAATATATTCCACAGTTGGTGGAACTTTAGTTATTAAACTTTGTTTGTGTACCTATGTAAAGGCGCCACAGATGAGCCCATTAGTTGTGGTATATATAGGATAGAGAATTGATATCAAGAGCCACGTGCTGCTAATCCAGTTGACTATATCCAGGCATTTTATCATATGACAGCTTTAAGAAATATGTAAAAAGAATTCCTGCGTTGGAGAATGAATAGCATAGAGCTGAAAACTATATAATCCAAGTCCTATATCTATATACGATAGAGGCTTTTATTATACAGAAACATTCTTGCTGAGTTGCAGAAATTCGTTATTCCCTGTACAGTTTCTAGCAATGCTTAATTATCTACCCTCTCCCTTCGGCTCTCAACAGAAATATGTAACCACCCCTGATATGGCAGAGACAATGCTGCAGCGCATCAGACAGCGTTACAATGGCGTCCACAACATGGAGAGCGGCGGCAGTGCGGAGTCGGCAATGCGAGCTCTGGAGCTGCTGCGCATCAGTGTGCAACAGGCTTTCGATACGGAGGTCAATGACATAATCAAGCGGTATATGAACGTAAGTAAGAGCCATATTTACCATATATGAACATTACTAATCTCAATCATTTCTCAATTTAGAACTACTTCAAGCCCGCCTTTGGTAACATCAAAGAGAATCTCGGGCAGCATGCGGTGAATGAGGAAACGCTGCAAAAGATGTCCTCGTGTGCTCTCCTGGAGAATGCCAAGGCACAGTATACGAATTTCGTCCTACGCCAGCCACGTCCGATTGGCGCAGCAGCAACTGTTGCCGGTGAGCAGCAACGTTTGGCCCTTAAGCGACCCGCAAAGGCGCACGAATTGAGTAATAGCAAAATGTTTACCAACAATTTGGGCTACGCCGTAGCTGCAGGCAAGCCAATGCCAGTGCCAGCTCAACAGCAACAGCAGCAGCAGCAGCAACAACAACAACAACAATTGCAGCTTCAGCAACAGCAGCAACAACAACAGTTACAATTGCAATTGCAACAGCAGCAACAACAACAGCAACAGTTGCAGCAGCAACAACAGTCGCAGACACTGCAACTACAGCGAACGCCTCTTATTAGCGGACCGTTGCCCACACCTGTACGTCGGCAAATCTTCTGGAACACCGCCCAGATCAATACGACCACAAAATTTGTGCTAGACGTGCAGGCGAATCTCGCCTTTGGCTTTAGCATTGACGGCAAGGAGCTGGGCGGCGCCCGTTTGGCCAGCAAACATCCAGAGATCATACGCTATCTGCCCGACGCCGAGGATCGCGAATGGCTGGCGCAACGTGGCATTATAGCCGCCGAGAATCGCAGCTCACGCTTCCTGTTTCTCATTTACGACGAGGTCTGCCGGCTGCAGCAAACGCATGATCTCTATCGGCACAAGACCAACATCGATCTCAGCATGATGCTCACGTTCAATGTGACGGAGACAATGATACAGAAAATGAAATTGTTCTTTGTGGACTTGAATATCAAGAGTCGCGGCCTGATAACCAATTCATTCATAGTGGCCAGCAATCAGCAGCAGCAGCAGCAACAACAGCAACAGTTGCAGCAACAGCAACAGCAACAGCAGCAGCAACAACAGTTGACTGGCAACAATAGCCACTTACGCAATGCGCTGCTGCAGGGCACGCCCGTTCAGGCGCAGCTGCCAACGCCGACGGCCAGCGGGGAGGAAGCTAAGGAGCTGGGATCTACACCCGTTGCCACGCCCTGTTTGCAGGGCACCGTCGTGGGCAGCAGCACCAACAAAGGCAAACTGATTGCCAGCAGCTCAACTCTGAGCTCTTCCCATGCTACGCTCACAGCGCTGCTCAATCAAAGTGGAGCCTCCAACAATTCGGCGCCCAGCAGCAACAAATTCCGGAACTAATATGCTTCGAAATAATCAATCAATTTGATGTTTTCTAGTTCTAGTTGTAGTTGCAGCTGTGCCAACTGATATTTTCGTCACGCTATCATATCGCTACCATTAATTGGTACCATCGACTAATCATTTGGGTGCGAATGCAAAAAGCAATTTCGAGCTATTCAAAATGCTAGCTAAGATTACTAAAATGTGTCATAAATAAAATATATAAGAACTTAAACTGAAAGAAGAATATATACAGAAAATTGATAAGCCATTGATAATGTACTTGGAATTGCTGCTTGAGTATCAAGTTGAGTTGACTAAGCTAAATCAGAAGCGTGTGCTCATCAAGCATTACACGAGGACCTCTCTATGCGATTTTCAAGAACTTGATGAAGGTTATATGTGTATAGAAACTGAATGTGTAAGATGACTAGTAAAAGCAGTTGATCGCCCATTCATAGGGCCTCTCTTTGCTTCCTTTCTAGCATATCCAATTGCCATACGCTGATTACTTTCCAAGTGCCTCTCTTTGCACTTCTCATGCATATTCTTAACGCTGCATATAATTTTGTGGCTATTTGCCTTTTGGCTGAGTGCCAAGTTAATCACTCAACCAATATGCCCTTTCGCTCTGAGTGTAGCGCACAATTCTCTATGCGTTGTCTAGCGCATGCTTCACTGGGGCATTTCTCCATATCTCAAGTGTTGCTGTTGATCTCGTTGTTGCTGTCATCGTGCAACTGTTGTCTATATACACACACACATATATCTATCTATATATATATATAGTATATATATGTAACATATTGTTTATAGCTATATATATTTGGCTATGTTTTGTGTGTGTTTGTGTGTGTGTCTGTGAGTATATGAAGAGCGCAACGCATCGCATTATAGCTGGCGATTCATGCAGCTTCCATAGGCATCTCCCTCTTTGCTTCTATCCATCCATCTGCTGGTTTGCTGCTGCTTTTTCCTGTCTGTGTGGAAAACCACTATACGGCTCACATTCTGACTGCCCGACTGCCTGGCTGGGTGGCTGACTGGGTTGCCTTGCTCGTCGTCTTTTAATTTTGTTTTTGATCGCGCTTTTACAGTTCTTTCTAAAAAACAATAAAATTCAGGCATCGGGCGTGGAAATGTGCTACATATACCGAAAATGTACGTCTCGGGTTCGTGCTTCGTTCGCCACGTATTTGCATATGTATTTGTGTATTTGTATGTGTATCTGTGGCAAGTTCAGCGACAGTCGATCTGAATATAATTTTCTGCGCTATATTTTGGAAAACGCAGCCGCATCGCTTTGTAGTAGGCACGAATACTCCGTGGTGTTCACTTCGAAGGAAATCTCTCAGATCGATCTATATTTTAACCGTAGAACAACAGCAACAACATGAGCGCCGTGGTAAGTGGATAGTGGATAGATAAATCGAATTGAAAGCAATTTTATAATGAGATCCTGCCGTAGGATGAGGATCTGACACCCGAGCAAATTGCCGTACTCCAGAAGGCATTCAACAGCTTCGATCACCAGAAAACTGGCAGCATACCCACCGAAATGGTTGCCGATATTCTGCGTCTGATGGGTAAGTGTGTGGAGAAAAAAAAATGCCTGGAACTTTTTTTTATTGGTTTTATCTCTTTATAGGTCAGCCCTTCGACAAGAAGATTCTGGAGGAGCTGATCGAAGAGGTCGATGAGGACAGTAAGTACAAGATTACAAAATATTATTATCGGGTGTTGTTCGGCTACTCTGATCATAATTCACTCACTTTTAATGCTATCGTAAATTCAAAACGCGTTGTTAAGAATGATAGGCGAATATATTTTGTTATTTTATTGTATGATTATATTGTTTATAGAGTCTGTTTTTTTTTTGCAATGCAGTGCAACAAGGGAAAAACAAAAGATTATAATTTTGTTAAATATAGAGTGTTCTGCGAGAGTGTATATATTTAATAATTATATTATTGACTATAATCCATTTATATATAACAACTAAAAATACGTTTTTTTTTTAAATTTTTTTTTCGCATTTAGAATCTGGTCGCTTGGAATTCGGTGAGTTCGTGCAATTGGCTGCCAAATTCATTGTGGAGGAGGATGCTGAGGCCATGCAGAAGGAGCTGCGTGAGGCTTTCCGTTTGTATGACAAGCAGGGCAATGGTTTCATTCCCACCACCTGCCTGAAGGAGATCCTCAAGGAGCTCGACGATCAACTGACCGAACAGGAATTGGACATTATGATCGAGGAAATCGATAGCGATGGCTCCGGTACAGTTGATTTCGATGGTGAGTATGCTATAGATACATGGATACATATGTATCTCATGGAATCATTTCTAATAGCTTGCGAATAGCGCCCACGTAAACACAAGCATACACGCACACACACACACATACACTCACACACTCACACAAGCTCGCACACCCACAATTTCGTAGCGTTCATAAATTAATTGTAAACATCAGCTAGATGTGCTATATGACAACGCAGTTCGGTTGATCTTGAGTTTTCGATTATGACAGCCTGATCGTTATTTTTTTTTGGATCATATCGATGCTATTTATAGGAACTGTGACAGATCTACATTATATATGTGCATATATACCAATATAAATTGATGAGGAAAAACAGAATTGAAATATTTATATATGGTTTATATAGTAGTGCTGTGAAATAATTGGTGTTTGAAGTGAACTTAAAGAAAATCGAAATTTATAAATAAGCAAATTAAAACTACCAGCAAATATTAAATATTTGTTAGTGATGGTTTTTATTGAATCAATTCAGTTCATATAAAAGCAATAAAAATATTAAAAATAACGCAAAATCTGAACGAAAGTAAATAAATAATAATTATTTTATTTATTTCTTATTTTCCAATAATTATTATTGAAACTTAATAACATAGTGTTTTTTTTTTTAAGTCGATAGTAATTTAGGATTATTATTTATTTTATTTTATTCACTTAACATATTTTTGGGCAAGAGTATACAAAGACCTATCATTTCTGAATCCACCCTCGGATTATATATGTATATTTATTCGTTTTCAAATACTTCGATTGTAGATTGATGATAAATGAAGATAGAAAGAGGCGAAAGTTATATTTAGTTTATTTAACTGATCATTAATTAAACCTCGTTCCCATGCCATACATACATGCACATACGTATAAATACATATATGTATATTCATATATACATATACTTTTAGTTCTGGCTTTCGTTAAAATGTCTGTCATTTTGTTTAACTTACAGAATTCATGGAGATGATGACCGGCGAGTAAATAAACGCAGTCCCAAGATCCACAAGTACACACACACAGACGCACACATACTGACACTGAAACACACACAGTTACACTGACACACACACACACAGAACATACACACCCTGGCACACAGACACAAACACAATCACACATATACATCGACGCCTGCCCACCTGTTTGAGGGTGGCGGTGGGGCGCACACGTTTATTTGTTTATATTTGCACACTTGTTTCATCTCTCGTAAACAAATCCACGTATTTAAATTGATGTCCACAAATTAATAGAATTAAACGCTTTTGTACTACTTTTTTATATAAAAAAACAAAAACAAAATAAAAGCAACAAAAACCGTGTATGCAAAAACAAAAAAAAAAAAGAAATGAAATGAAAAGTAAATTAATAAAAAACAAAAACAAAAAACCAAAAGCAAAACAAAGGCAATTCTGTAAACGTTTTATGGTTATGCTATGCTGTCAATGCCAACCGCGCAGTTGGCTGATAAACGCGGCTATCAGCGAAGAGCGCGCACCTAAAGAAAGCTGACGAAAAAACAACAACAAAAAGCTCGTCGAGTTATTTATTTATTTTTTTTTTTAACTACGTTAGCATTACATACAAAAGCGCGCTCGGCGTTGACGTTGGCCTCGACGCAAACGGCGCTGCTGCTGTTGCTGTCGCTGTTGTTGTTGCTGCTGCCGTTGCTGCTGCTGTTGTTTGCTGTTGCTGTCTGCTGCTTGCTGCTTGCTGCCTGCTGCCTGCTGCCATTGACCAATTCGCCCGCTCGACTTGGCGGCGTTTTTCTTGGGTCTCTGTCGGGTTGGTTCAGTTGCTTGGCTGTGGCTTTTGTGTGCGCTTGCCGTTAGCTGCCAGCCAGTGTTGAGCTACGTCTGATCGTACGTCGCGTCCCCCACCTCCCTTCCTCCAACGACTCACTCACCGCGCGCGCTAACAAATTGTGTGTTTTTGTTTTTGAGCACTTTTACATATATTATTATTATTATTATTATTAATTCTAACGATCGTGCGTCTCGTCTTGTCTCGTCTCGTGATAATATTAAGTAAAGTGTTTGCAATTGATAATAAAATTCGCATTTATAATAATAATAAATAAATATTTAACATAGCAAAATGCCGCAGAGGTAATTTTTTTACCGTTATTTATTTATGTGCATGTGTGTATACATACATCAGACGTGCTTGTTTGTTTTGGCATTATGGGTAGCTTAAGAATGTGTTAAAAACGCCGCCGACGACTTTTTGGTGTCAATAAAATTTATGGCCGCATAAATGTTCAAATAGGTTTCATTTCCTCTCTCCCTCTCTTGACATTGGCTTATCAAATTGGCGAAAACAAAAAGAACTCTGATAAAAGAACAAAAAGAACTGTTGGGATTTGAAAGTAACTATGCGCGTGTTTTTACCTATACATACATATATGTATGAATATGAATATGGATATAAATGTGTATGCGTGTGTGCTTGTGTTTGCGTGCACAGCGTCAGCAAGCTTTTTAGCATAGCTTGATAAGCGATTTTGTAATTGTAGCTAAAAAGCCAATGCCATATTTTAAGTAAAGTGCTGACACGCGCGCTGTGGGAAACCCGCATTACATGTAATTCAAGCGAAACGGGTAGAAAGAGAGAGAGATTCGCTTGCAACCAAAAACCAGGCGCTATAGCGTCAACAGCTGCTCCGATGGATGGATGGATGACTCATTCGACAGCCATAACAATAACAATGGCATTATGGCAATTAGCACTTCACACTGAATCAAATCGAAATCAAACACAAATCTATAATGATAAGGTGTTTGTCAATTTTGTGTGTGCGATCGTAGTGACAAATTGGTTAAAAAAATATCAACGTGTTATTTGTGAACATATCTTTTTGTTCAATAATTTGCAGCTCGACAACAAATTGGTCATTCCAGCCGCTACATCGACAGCGTAGTGGGCATTACCAGCACCATGTGCTTAATTCGGTGCCGGAGACGGCTGTCTTGACCACGCCTCCGCCTCTTCGAAAACGTAAGTATTATCAACACTGAAGCTTTGCTTGAATTTAAATTTAACGCGCGCAAGTTAGACATTCGCATGTCGACGGACATTCACTATTGATACCTAGTCGATAGACGGCATTATAGAGAAATATTTGCTAGCCAGGGCTGCAAACGTAAAGTTGTTTATGATATACAATTACATTTTTAATAGTGTTAATTCAATCAATAATTGTGAGTAAATCAATGACAATTACTCAAAATGAATTAGTGCATGTTTTAATAAATATGCAAAAACCTTGCGAATTTTCAAATTTGTTTGTCTGCTAGCGATGACACTGAATGACACAAACATATCGTAATATCGCTTCAAAAGATGCGTTCGTTTTTGTTTGTTCATTCATGAACAGCAGCAGTTGTTAAATATATATACACTCAGCATATCCATTAACATTTACAGCGCTCTCGTTGCAAATTGCTGGCGTTGGTGCTGCTGCTAACAACGGTGGTGCTGCAGCATTAGCTGACAAAACCAAACGGAGATACATAACATCCCGCAAGAAGGCCAAAAGCACAATGAAAATGCTTGTCGTTGACACCGAGCGAGAGGAGGCTCTAAATTTGGTATGTATGTGTGCAAATATGTGTGCAAGTGTTTGTGTATGTGTGTGTAATTAAAAATCCATCCGGCCAAAAATGCAATGTAATTAATCAAGTGTGAAGTGTATGTGCTTTAAGATAATTGATTATTGATTGTTTTGTCTCATATCGTCTTTTTCCTTTCTTCTCTCACCGAAATGCCGATATTATTGATTTGTACATGAAACGTGCCCCGTTGTTCTTTGTTTTTGGGCTGACGACAACGACAACGACGCTATCGCAAAATACACACGCACACGCACCTATATATACGCACGCCCACAACAAACCCGCATTACAAACCTATTTATATATGTATATATAAATATATATGTACATACATATTTGCAGCAAATTGAATTCGAGTGGGTGCTGAGGCAGGAAGTGCATGCGATATTAAAGCAATTGCGAACTATACTAGTGGTAAGCTATCATAATAATATCCTTATGCAATAGAATCACTCATAAATATACATATCTATATATTTGTATGTATTTATCATTGTTTATTTATCATTTAGGAATGCGCCCATCGATTTCCTGTGCCACTATATGATAACGAGGGCAAGAAGACTGAAAAGTTCGTACTCAGTGTGTCGCCCGATCAACTGAAGGCGGTGCTAACCTTAACGGGCGATGCGATAACCCAAGCAGTAAGCACCAATCATACATAAACAAGGGCATAAACAAAGTAATTAAGTCTCCACTTTGTATTTAACAGGATATTAGCTTTAAGCTGTGCAAAGCGCCCAGTCAGACGCAACGTACCTCAATCACACACGATTCGCCGTGGAAGCTGCAGCAGGTGCAGGATGCTGCTAATCATCTGCAAACAGCAATCAATCACATTGACGACGTTGATGACTCTTATCACTTCAAGTGAGATTGTTTGGTGTTTACTTTAAATTTCTATATTTACAATTTACTGATTGTACATACGCAGAACCTCGGATGAAGTGCTTCATGTGATAGGCAACATTTTGGATGCGCTGCAGCGTGGACGCAACAGTTTGCTAGTGCCGAAGAAGAAGCCAATTGAGGAGCTAATCAAGGGACGCAATATGAAATCACTTGTGCCTAACCTGCCCGAAGATTTGGCCGTTAGCTTCTATCTGCAGAGCCACAAGCTGATCATAGCCGTCTATCAGCTGTTAAACAATCAAGGGACAATGCAATTTGATTCTCGCCAAGCGGAAATCGGTGTTCAATGGCTCAATGATGTACTCCTGCTGCTGATGAATGGCCAGAAACTGTGTCAGCAGCTGAAAGACAAGGTAAATACTGTTTCCTCTATTCCCTGTCCCTTCTCTAATTGGAGCACAAATCTAAAACAGTTTCCAATTTCGGCTGCCAATTGTAGATGCCAAGTTTAATTTGGCTATTTGGCGATTTTCCAACATCATAATGCAGTTCTTGACTGTGACGCAAGTTGCCAATTAAAGTACATACATATATCTATATATACAAATATATTTATTTATTTGTATATATGCATATCTATATTTATATATACAAATATACTTATTTATTTATATATATGTATATATATTTATACATATATGTATATATGAATAGGGTGTAAAAATTCATAGAAATGATTTATGAACTATTTTTAATATTTGTTTTTGCTTTTGCAGATATCCGTGTTTTCAGTATACAAAGATTTTACAGTTGGTTCGCGTTCGCCATCAGCTTTATCGTACTGAGTGGAAAGGATATATGTATATGGCTGAAAAGGATAAACAATATAACAACAATAATAGCTTATAATGAAAACGTACTTGTAATAGTTAAAGTAAATAATGTTAGTTAAAGAGTTGCTCCTTGTGACCGCATACCGTAATACCTATTATATATATACTGATATATATATAAAGAGTTATATATACACCTAACTAGTTTTATGAACACACAATCAACATTCATATATTGTTCATCGCGCGACAATTGATTAGTATAGAATTTGTTTTCATTGCTTCATGTCACACTCCAATTTATGCATCTAAATGCAATAATGTAACTAAAAAAAATCTAGATAATTATTAATGATTATATATAGTTTGTGCGGCAGAAGTGCGTACATTAATGTAATAATGATGATGATAATGATATATTATGTATTTATTATGATATAAAATTCAAGTCAGTTAGTACTTAACAGATTGATATCTATATATATACACAACATGCATACATACATACATTAAAATTATTAACCTTACGATTTAAAACTGAGCATGAACATTAAAATATATTTACAGAATAATGTAATAAACCAAACCGAAATGTGAACAGAATTTTTAATTATACTAAACACCATTTTGTATTCCATGTATATGTATGTGTTGTTAATGTTTAAGCGCGCCTAATCTAATCCAAAGTCATTTGTATCAACGGCCTTTTACTTCTCGTTTACTTTATATATGTATATATATATTTATTATATATATACTATACTATATGAAGAGGGATGCAACGAAAACAATTACCAATGTACTTATTGAATATTGTAATTTGCCTGTGTAACTAACATGATTCGTATGAAAGATGAAATTTATTTATATAATATCTAAGCCTATTTAATGTCCATATTCATTTAATTGTTGTTGAATAAAAAATTGAATTTTACCAAATTGATAAGTGTACTTTTTAAATTTGCGCGCTGTTTTGCTTGCAATCCGATAGGAACTTTGGCGATCGCTGAGCTCTCGTTGTTTATCGATGAGCATAGGTTTTGATAGGTGGCAACGCTGTCTGATCGCTTACAGCTCAGCCCGTTCGTGGTCAAGTCGTCAAACAGTTTTAAGGCGGCAAGCAAAGCAAACCGTTGCAAGTGACGGATCAAAATAAACAAACTATTTTTCGTGGTAAGTGCAGGTCATTGCTTATGGGAATTTAGAGAATTAGAAGTGCAACGGTGCAAATCTAAAGTGCAATTTAACAATTAAAAGTCCAAGTGTTAAAGCCCAGTCACTGTGCGCAACCATTTGACGCACGTATGTTGTAATATACGCGGAAACCAGTTCATAGTAATTATTTGATGCTAGTTTGTTGTTATTGCTGTTGTGTGGTAATCACAGCTAGCCCAGCGTCAAGTCCAGCAGCTACTCTTTGATTTGTAGCGTTTTGCTCAGCTGCTGCTGCTGCCGCTGCTGCTGTTGGTCCAAAAGTGTTGAAAATGTTGACCCTGGCCAAGTAACACACAAAGAGGAAGCTAAGAAAAAACAGCAACAACTTCAATGATATTTCTATTGCGAAGATATGTACATATGTATGTAGTTAAAAATGCATTAATATTCATTTCAAAGGTGTAACGGATTTCATAGAGATCATACTTCGCCAAGAGCTTGTGTTATTGTGTGGATCTGAAAAGCTGGCGCTCTCTCGATAATTAATCGCATTGTCTTCCTTGATGTCCTTCGATAATTGATGTTCTCTCTTTGGCTTACGTCGAAAGCTAATCGAAACGTTCTTCTTAACAATAATTTATTTTAAAAAGCTTGGCTTTATGTTATTACCTATGATCTGGTTAAAGCTGCGCCGTGTCTTTATTAACATAACAAAGCTGCACGTAAGCCATGCGCTATAAAAAACCACCAAGTCATTTGAAAACGGCTTTGCTGACCCCGGACGAAGGTCTCTTCTGCAGAGCCATGGCTATCTGCTTTAGTTATGAGAGCGCGAATGAAGGCTTGTTTTGATGCGCTGCGACCCGATGCTTGGGTAATTGAAGCAGCGTTTTTTTTTTTTTTTACGACGCTTGCTTGACCAACTCAGTTGTTGCGTTTTATTTTTTTTATGGCTGCAGTGCACTTTGTTGTGCTTTTCAGCACTTGGTTACTCAACGGAATTTATTTTATTATTTTCTAGTAAGAGCTCGAGTTAGAGACATTTGAGGCAATGGGCAGCAGCGACGGCGAAGTGGTGCTTGTGACGGGCGGAAGCGGCTTTCTGGGCCAACATATCATTAAACTATTGCTAGAGCAGCACAAGGAGCTGGGTATCAAAGAGATTCGCTCGCTGGACATTGTGCCATACAGCAATAAGATTGGCCATCCGGAGACGCCAATGCTACGTACATTTGTCGGCGATATTGGCGGAGAACGTGAGAGTTTGAACAAAATCTTTGCCGGAGTTGACAGCGTCTTCCATTGCGCTGCTGCGGTTGACATCTCATATCCACCCAACTATGACGAGCTGGAGCGTGTGAATATAAATGGTGGGTTTACTAGTTACTGCACTCAAGGAGAGTAGATAATAGAATAATACACTTTAACATATTTAATGCTAGGCACTCGGACTGTGGTGGATCTCTGCATACAGCAGAACGTGAAACGCTTGATTTACAGCAGCTGCACATCGGTGTGCTTTGTGCCATTTAAGGGACGCAGCACTTTCTCGGCGGTGATCAATTCTACAGAGTCCAAGACGGACACGCCCACACTGGACAGCTCCAAGCTCTGGGAACAGGATAGCGAGTTTCTAATTGCGGGCTATGCATCTAGCAAGCTGCGTGCAGAGAATATTGTGCTCAATTCCAATGGAGCACCGCTGCAGAATCAGCTAGGTAAGCTCGATATACTCGACTGTAATCTCCATATACTAATGATTATTTGCTTTAGATTATCTGGCCACCACTGCAATACGTGCACCTTTAACCTATGGCGAATGTGATCCACATTTCATTACCACTATCTTTGACTATTTGTCCACTCGCAATTGGGTCTTTCCGCGCATTGCTGGCGTCGGCGGCAAACAACAGCTGGTTTATGCTGGCAACGTGGCCTGGGGACACATCTGTGCCTACAAGGCGCTCAAGGTGTCCAGCAAGGCGGTGAATGGATTACCTGTATTCGTCACCGACGACACGGGCATCAATGATGTCTCACGCTTTGTGCAAAAGATGGCGCTGCTGGGCGAACGCTTCAAGGTCAAAACTAGCTGGTGGTATTTACCACACTTTCTGTTCTTCTTCCTGGCCCTGCTGTGGGAGTTTGTCGTGCGTGTGGCCTATCCCTATACCAAATATCGCATACGCTACTCACCGCGGGCCATTGCATCGTATACCTCATCAATGCTCATGTACAATCGTCTGCGCGCCTCCATACACATGGACTATATGCCGCTATATGATCCAGATACCAGCGCTGAGCGCAGCGCCAAATGGTACGCCAAATGGTGGGATGCCAAAAAGCTGGCCAAAAAGTCTAAAAAGTCGAGCTGAGCGTGTACTTGAGCTGTGTTCATTACTAATGTTATGTAAATGCTAGCCTTTTGTTAACCTTTTTGTGTAGGAAATTTAAAATAAATATGGGTGTTATCAATGTATATACATACTTACATATGCTAAACTATATTAACTAACGACGAATAATTGGTAATCCAGCTGGCAAATCCGAGTTGATTATCGATTGATGTAACTTGGTCAAATGTGGCTTAAACAATCTTATAGCTTACGAAGTTAACCATCTTGAACTGTAAATTTGATATCCCGACCAATCTGGAAGCCCCATTTAGCCCACAAATGAGAACACATCGCTCGAGTTTTATGTTTTTGAACAATGTTCATATTTGTTTATTAATCATTATGAATTAATTTATTTATTTCTTCAGTTATTTCATTATAATTTGTATTATATATACTTTTGGTTTTTTTTTGTGTTTTGTTTTTGGTTTTGTGTGTGTGTGTGTGTGTATTTTTTTTTGTTGCTCTAGAGCCGTTTTGTTTTGCCATTGTTTTTTAAACTTATGTACCATTATCTTAACTTATAATGCCATTATTTAAATTGTTTTCCTTTCGCTTTTAAAATCATGTTTTATTATAGTTTATATTTATTTATTTATTTATATATATATATACGCATGCATAATTTTGAAGTCGTTTATGCTTACGCCGATTTTAAACAGCTTGAATGGAATTTTTGCTTTTCTCTCTGCTTCTTCTTCTGCAACTGTCTCCCACCTATAACACCTGTTCACAGATCTGAGAACTCGTTATCAAAATTCTTCTGTACTTCTGCTGGGAAAATAGGTTCGAAATGTTCTTTTGCTAAAGTTCTCGTTCTCTTTTTATTTTATTTTTGAATACATATTTGACTTGATATTCTCTCTGTGTGTGTTAAAAACTATTACAATTTATTGTTGTTCGAGTGTGTGAAGTGTGTCCGTGTGTGTGTGTGTGTAATAGGCAATAATTGCCAATTTTGAATGATCCTCCTGCCTCTTCTTCTTCTGGCTGTTGTGTGCAAGGGTCCTTAAAAATAATTGAATTACTTTAACCATCGGCTTTGTTGCTTTTTTATATGCTTAACATTATTGAATTTAACTATATGTTTATTTGTTTGTTCTTGGTTATATAACTATTATATAAATATATATATATATATTGTATACGATGTACATATACATATACATATATATTTATATAGATATACAATTTTGTTTTATATATATATATTATATATATGTATGTATATATGGGCATATATTTTTGCGTTCGTATGAAGTTTCTGTTTGCCTTCTTTATTTCTTCATATATATCTGCATATATATATACATATACATACTTGTAGTAAATATACAAATTCGTTACCGGATTTCTTTATAGAAATGAAAAAATTGTTTTCTTCTTTAAATTCTCGTTATGCTTTCTATTTATGTGTATGGCTTTTCGCACGCTTTGTTTTCTCTTTAATAATTATTTTTAATTTTTATTATAATTTTTACCTTGTATAGTTTGCTGTAAGTGTATATAGTACTGTACCAGTTGTCGCATAGCTATTACACTGTCCTACATGCATGTACCATATATGTATACATACACACATTGGCAACGCCGCTCTATTACATTCTCAATCATCACTCGATGCCCAAATGTGTCCAGCTGGGACTTGGTATCTAGACTAAATTTCCTTTACTTTACTTTTCTTCCATTTTTTTTTGTTTTAAAGTATACGCATTCCAGATCCAGTGTGTGTTTGAGTGTATGTGTTTTCTAATTGATTTTCCATCCATTTCTTAATTACTTTTACTTACATAGTAGAATACTTACAAACTGTCTTACGCTTTATTAACGCGTTTTATATAAATGTATCTTCATTTCTGTTGAATTTTGGGATTTTCTTCATACATATATATATGTATATATATATATAATTTGTTAAGATTCCTTCGACTTGTGTATAAAGTATTAAAATGATTTCATTTTTGCTGGTTACGCATTTGTAAATACAATTTTAACTTCACTGCCGTCCTTTGTCATTATCTTTATCTTAAACATTTGTCATGTATTTCATAATTGTTTTTTTTTTCTTT